GTTACTTTATTAACATTTTTATGCTTATACTGTGAGGTAAAAATGGCTGCTGCTATGATTTTGTCTGGTTTATGAGCTCATTGCTGTCCAATTTAGGATCTTCTTTTTAATAAATTCTTGAAAATGTTAGAAAAGAGAAAGAGAGGGGGGCCCGGCAAGGATGTTTGCCCCGAGGCCAGTGCTGGCTCTCGACGTTCCTGTTTAGTGTGTAGAACGACAACTATTGTCAAGCAAGTCTACGATGTTACTTTTGTAAAGAAATTCAAAGAAGTTATTTTTAAATTGTGCTAACCTGCAGCCTGGAGTAATCAATACAACCACAAGTGTTTTTTTTGTGTTCTTCAAAGCTAGAGACAGCTCAACGCAGCATAACATAAGTCACAAACATGTAATAAACAACTTTACAAAGTTTTCATTACAGTTGAACTCCACTTCTACGAAAAAAATACTAAACTTTGAGATATAGTGATCTACTATAAAAACATGATTACAAACTTACTTTACGTTAGATAAACTAACTTTTTTTATATATAAAATTAGCAATAATTTAGCATTTAAATCAAAAATGTCTTATTAATTGTAACTAGCATGTGAAATAAATAACTTCTAGTTATGAAGAATCGAGACAAATGATACAATCACAAATATGTTATTGTAACTCAGTAGGTGGTATGATGTCAACACACTTAATCAAAAAGCAAACAAAAGTAAAAGGAACAAAGTAATTTTAGTTAAATATATTATTAACTGGAGAGCTCTTACTGGAACTCTAATAGGATAAGAGGTAAAATTAGGCAATGTTTTAAGACTATATAGTATAGTCTTATACACCAGCAAATAAGGTAGTATAAAAAACCTCAGAGAAACCCGCATCATTTAAGCGTTATTGTAACCCTGTTACCAAACTGTTTTATTAAAGAAAAAGTATAAATTAAACATCATTAGCATCAGTAGTTACAGATTCTTAGCTTGGAGTTTTGCCTGAAAGTAACACTAATATAAACAAGCAGTTTTTTTTTTTAACAGAATTACCAGCTTGGACTAATGGTTGTAAAAATTCCTGAAGGCCTGCAGGAACTCCACGAACAATGTCACATGAGTAGCCATCTTCTGGTAGAAGGAAGGGAAGTTGTAGATCAGCATCTTCTTCAAGTTTCACTTCTCGCCCATCACTACGTGCCAGCTCATCAGCTGTATTTTCAGCCACCTTTGTAACAAAAATAATTATATCTTAATCCTTCTGCTGCATAGTTTGGATATATCCAAATAAACATTTGTACCCACTAACTGCAAAATTTGTAGTTACCCCACGGCTACCAAAAAAAGTTGCCCCCTACTGCGACATGCGGGAATATCCCCCTGTACTTGAAACAATCACCAAACCTACGTACGTCCTGCCATCTGTGTTCTATACCGTGAAACCTGGATGTTTATATGCCTCATTATAAAATTGTCAACTTTGCAGGAACACATATAGAATCTATATAAAGACAGCTTCTTCATATCTTGGATGTTGTCATCTAAATTTGTATTTTGTAATGCTTTTAGCCTCTTATTGACTTAGTTTTGCTTATACCTATACCATTTACTGGAGAACACTTTTCTTCTAATTAACCTCAATTTTTTGTTTAAATCATTATTTTTCACTATCCAATACAATTTTCAAGGAATATTACTGACAGATACAGAAAACACAGTTACTTTCAATGTTGAAAAAGTAATACAAAGGGTCAAATTAATATTTTTATTTTTTGGTGGGAATCAGCCTGAAAATTAATTGTGCAGTGAAAGGGTTAATCAAAGCTGGGATGTAATTTTTGCCACACATTCTTGTGATGGTAGATGAGAATGTTTTATGCAGGAAGTAATATAAAGCTCACAATAAATTATAAATGTAGACAAATATGCTTGAGTAGTAACTCTTCCCAGAGGGGTCACAAATGAAAGGCCATGTCATCACGTTTGTTGACTCGCTTTCAAAGTTTTATTGAGCTACTATTTCTTGAATTTATGTCAATAAGTTTGGTATCAAACTGTAGATTATAATTCAAATGTTAGTATTATACCTTACCCAGTTTCTTAATTTAAAAGTAAATATTAAAAAAACACAGTTACGCATCAATTTTTGTGTGTCACTTGATATGTTGAATGCAGCACTGGTTCAAATTAGATGTTTGTGATGTCAAAATACTAAGTCTATAGTTTCGTATGAATTAGGAACTAAAATTACGAATATTAACAAGGTATAATATAAAATAAGAACCTCTTTATCTTTTCAATTTGCTAAGATATTGCTCATGTAAAAATGAAATACAGTGGCACCCTGTCCACCTCTTTCCATTTTTGGAAATGCTCCCTTATATACACTTTCTTATATATATATATGTATATGACATCAAAAACTAATCAGAAGATCAGAATGTCCCCTAGTGGCTTTCTCAGCCATCTTCACATCTTTGGATACTATCTCTTTCTTTCGAATCAAGATTTCAGTGACGTAGGGTGTGTCTTTAGTCTGCTCAAAATTTCATATATTTTTTTACTGAAATACAGCTTAGTTACTAAGCTTGATAAATTATAGTGCAATTCTGTGGTACTGATATAGTAATTTATGATTTTTTGATTATTCAACTCTATATATATATAAATCCTAAAAAAAATATTTTGTTTCATATCCTTCATGTGCAAAAATTTTAAAAGGCTTAGCAACCTACATCAAGCAGCAAACAAGTACATAGTTCATAACTAGAAGATATAATTGTTTGCTTTACTTCTTTATTTACTGTTCTATGTTTTAAGAAAAATAAGTTTAAGAACTTATTTCTAAATAGCAATAATCTATAAACAGAAAAAGAGAGACACACACAGGGTGTCTGAGAAGTCTGAAACCACAGGTGATTTGCAGCTTTACTTATTTCTGATACGTGACTGGTTATGCCATTGTCAAAGCATGAGAAGGTTAATCCTGCTGTTAATCCAAACTTGTTTTGAATGATGAGGACAGTATGTGGAACACATTCTGTAAAATTTGTTGAAATATCTATGGTTCCAGACTTTTCAGACACCTTGTTTATATGAATAAAACTGACATAATACAAACTGATGCCTTACTGTTGTTGCTATATGACAATTACAACTTTACGAAAATGAGAAATCAAGCTATAAATATATCAAAATAACTGTCATAAAATTAGTGACTTAAAAATAGCAAAACATTAGAAAAAATTTTAATTATACTATAAGAGTACAGCATTAAAAAAGGAAGAAAGAAAAGAAAATGTCCTCATTAATATTATATGCAACTGTATGGATTGTTAAAATATGAAAGTGAAGAAAAGAATAAAATTCAATTCAGTTAGCGCATTATATAGTTAAAGCATACAGTTATCATTCAAGCAATGAAGTGATCATGTACTGATTTTAAACACAGGTCTATGTTTTAAACTTCCATGATAATATTCATTATGGGGCCTGTCATGATACAAGTACATGCATATCATTAGTAACCAACATAATTCAAATGTTTTGTTAGTACCTTTACAAACAAGTCACAAATACACTCTACATTGTAACAACTGTCGCCTAACCTCCTTATGGTTTCACTTATATAAAGCTTTGGTATTTAGTGCAGCAAATGTAGTATGGGATACACACCTTGGATTGTGTGATGCAGGTGAACTGGTCTTTAATATGGAACGATCATATGGGAACAAAGCTAGTCAAAGAGTCATTGATGTACCTGCATGTCAAACATACACATACCTCTGTGTATCTATTCAGATGTTTGTAATATTGAGCTTCTATAGGAAGATCTCATCAACACTGACATTTCTACAAATCCAGCTATTAAATGGGTGGTACGTAAGGAAAAGAGGAATTTGTCACTTTGTGGTTTGTACCATGGCCAGTTCTACAGATCTAGCTGTTAAATGTGTGGTACGTAACAAAGTGGAATTTTGTCACTTTGTGGGTTGTACCATAGACAGTTCTACAGATCCAGTTATTAAATGGATGGTACGTAAGGAAGAGGAATTCTGTCACTTTGTGGTTTGTACCATAGACAGTTCTACAGATCCAGTTATTAAATGGGTGGTACGTAAGGAAGAGGAATTCTGTCACTTTGTGGTTTGTACCATGGCCAGTTCTACAGATCTAGCTATTAAATGTGTGGTACGTAACGAAGAGGAATTATGTCACTTTGTGGTTTGTACCATGGCCAGTTCTACAGATCCAGCTGTTAAATGGGTGGTACGTAAGGAAGAGGAATTCTGTCACTTTGTGGTTTGTACCATAGACAGTTCTACAGATCCAGTTATTAAATGGGTGGTACGTAAGGAAGAGGAATTCTGTCACTTTGTGGTTTGTACCATAGACAGTTCTACAGATCCAGTTATCAAATGGGTGGTACGTAAAGAAGAGGAATTCTGTCACTTTGTGGTTTGTACCATAGACAGTTCTACAGATCCAGTTATTAAATGTGTGGTACGTAAGGAAGAGGAATTCTGTCACTTTGTGGTTTGTACCATAGACAGTTCTACAGATCCAGTTATTAAATGTGTGGTACGTAAGGAAGAGGAATTCTGTCACTTTGTGGTTTGTACCATGGCCAGTTCTACAGATCTAGCTATTAAATGGGTGGTACATAACAAAGTGAAATTCTGTCACTTTGTGGTTTGTACCATAGACAGTTCTACAGATCCAGTTATCAAATGGGTAGTACGTAAAGAAGAGGAATTCTGTCACTTTGTGGTTTGTACCATAGACAGTTCTACAGATCCAGTTATTAAATGGGTGGTACATAAGGAAAAGAGGAATTTGTTGGTCTGTGGTTTGTCACAAGTCAACTGTCTACACCTAAAAGAAAGTAAACTGGTCATTTGTTTTTTATTTAGATCTATGTTGTCATGATAGCACAGGTGTCTTAAATAAATACAAAGATGGCACTTGTGGTTTCACAAGCTCAGAAGAAGTTGTAATTAATGTTGGTATCACTTTCACAAGTTCACATCACAAAAACCATGTACTTTTGGTTAAAATCGGGAAGTTACATATAAGTTATGGGTGATAAGTTTGAATACAGTTAATACATTATTCTAGTTTTTCAATGCTTTCAGTGAAAAGATGAAGTATGTTTCCTCCAGTGTTATAAAACACACATGTAGATACAACTGAAACCCATACTTTACAAACAGATGTAGATACACCTGAAACCAATACTTTACAAACAGATGTAGATACAACTGAAACCCATACTTTGCAAACAGATGTAGATACAACTGAAACCCATACTTTGCAAACAGATGTAGATACAACTGAAACACATACTTTATAAACAGATGTAGATACAACTGAAACATATACTTTATCAGATTGGGTTATATTTTATGAACTGTTATATAATTTTTAAACTGAAAAAAATAATATCCTTTACAATATTGTGTAGATCTCACACAAAACTCTAAGATATTAAAACATTTTCTCACCTTCACAACACTTTCTATAAGATCTTGTGGTATGTGGGGTTCATCTTGCTCAGGCTGGTACTTTTCTAGTAAGATGCGTAGTTGAAGGGAGTTAAGTTTGAAGCAAGAAGAGCTAATGTTGGCTATATCAGTAGGACTACCCTTTGAAGCTTGTAACAATTTTGCTGCCTACAATAAATAGCTTTATAACTACATTCATCCATCTTCTAAATTCAAAAACATCAATTTCCACCAAAACTCAGTACATTTTCCGTAAATGCAAGAAAATATCAGATTCTTTGTTTGCTTGTCTATTACAATTCAAAATTTAATATCAAAGCATTAGACACAACAGTTGTCAATAGCAAAATGTTTAAACTTCTATTAGGTAGCAGAAACTTTTTCAAGAAATAGATAAGCTGCTTGTGTTCAAACCACCTTAAAAAATCAATTGGATTAAAAAAAAAACAGATCAATAGCAGGACTTGCACACCATATCCAAGCTCAAATTCAAAGATATTTCAATGCTTTTCAGTACTATATCAAGACCACTTGAGCAGCATTCTAGGCTTGCATTAGGTGTTAATAAAAAAAAGTGTTTTATTTAGGTGGCCTAATTTGTGTACTGTATTAACTGTTCAATTTATTCTTAAAAGTATATCCACATATTAGAAAATAGTGAAAACCAGCTTTTATGGTACTGCTATGCATATATTTTTCTTTTAACTTTTAACCTTTAACTAACTAGCATTACCAGCCATAATAACAGGTGTTAAGATTACAACATCATAAAGTGTGGAAACATCTTTAATATCTAACTACCAGCCATAATAACAGGTGTTAAGATTACAATATCATAAGTGTGGACAAATCTTTAATATCTAATTATAACACTTTAAAAAAACTGGCTTATGATCATCAACTGTCACAACGAACACTTGAACAAAATTAGCTGGAATACTGGCAAATTAGCAGGTTGTCATGAGGTAATATAACATGTACACAGAACTAGCAGAAGCTCGGGTGATTCATTTAAAGCACATTTATTCAACTGTTGCCTGTAATGTATATTTATAGTTAAGAAAAAGGGCAGGTAGGTGAATGTGTGTTAACTTTTTTCAGTTATCAAATTTAATGTGTTCAGTGACGATGAATGACATTAAAAACTCAATTCTAAATAAAAGGCATTTTTCTTTAACACATGAGCATTAACTGAATCAACTCCTACTGAAATATATATATATATATATATATATGCACTGGAATAATCAAGTTGGTGGTGTACCAATAAAGGAAAAAAATAAACAGCCCAAAACCTAAGACACCATTTAGGTCCCCAGATGCTAGAGTTGTAAGGTGCTCTAAAATGAGATCTGAGATTATCCTTCACTTAAAATATATTCAAATGAACTGGGTGTGTATGGCTTAGAGTTTTTTAAAGTAGGTGGTGTACTTGCACTCTCATACAATGTTAATGCTATGCCCCTGCTACAGACTACATCCACACAATAGAAAGGTTGCTTAATTCTCATGATTCCAATGCATGTCTGTTATAATTAGGTTCATTTTTTTAAATTTTGTTTTTGTCTGACAACATACAATAAAGTTAAATATCTTTATCAGGTCAATTACATTTTTATTTCCAAGTATCTTAGGATAAAAGAGGGCTGCTAATCATAGCTAAGCAGGTGCACAGCAGCCCATAAACAATTGTACAAAATATAAAAGCTGAGCTCCATTACCTGAACAATCCTATTGAGGTGACAATCAGCAGCCAACTCAAGTCCTTGCTTCTCAGCCCAGGCTTCTACTCTGGAAAGCCTTCTCTTGAGCCGGATTCCCCACGCTCGTGTGCAAAGCAAATGATATGTTCTAGACACTAACTTGTTGAACAGCCACATGTTAATAAAATGAAAAAGTTGTGAGAAGAGCTGGATTGTAAGAGCGGCATTCACCCTGCATCTTCGAAGCAATGACATAGCATTGGACAAAACAGCCAGAATTTCACCTATAATAAAGAATTTTTTCACTGTATCTAACATCTTAGAGAATACCTTCAAAATAATATAAATACATACTGAGGAAAAGAGTAAAACATTCAGTTAGAGCTACTTTTTTAATTCTAAATTAAACATACCAAAGAGAATAACTTCAGTTAGTTTTTAGAAAATACTGTTAAAAGTATTTCTAATGTGCTTCCTACGATTATAACTTATTGCAGAAAAACAATTTCAACTGAATAACCGATTATACAGTTTTCCGCTGCTGTAAAAATGAAACTTTTAACATTATATATCATTTAAAACAACACAAAAAGTACTTCCTCTCATATCAGATATGAATAATCTATTTTTGAGGTTAAAATCTACTTACTTCCACAAAATCTGTAACTACATAAATATTAATAGCTAAAATTTAAAAAAAGTACTTAACATACATTAGCCTCAATACATAAAAAAAAATGAATTAAAATTTGTACATGGTTATAATGTAATAAAAGATAGTTACCCGTTGTTCCATCCTCTTCATTACCATCCTCCTGGTCCTCTATAAATACTGGCATAGCCGAGTGCAGCTCTGCTTGCAGGCAAGTGACCAAGCTACGAAATGCCAGCTGCACACTTTCAGCTAGCATATCTTGAGGATCAAGAGTGTAGGCACTGAGGTGACGATCCTGTTTCAGGAAGTGAAGAAGTTCCGAGCCATTGGCCAGCCAAAAGGCAAGAGAAGCAGTATCTCGGTAGCGATCCTAAGAAAAGCCAACCATATGTTAGCTAAGATCATTCATACAGTCTAAAGGGTGTTTGATCAAGTGAATAAATGGTTCTCATCAAACTTTGATTCTGGAATGAACTTTATACTGAAAATGTTTCTTTTATTAAAGACAATTACTGTTACTAAAATCTAATGTTAATCATTTCACGTTTAATGCAACTGCTCAATATCTAATTGTACTTGTCATAAGACATTAGTATTATGCTTATTATATTTTGAACATTACATTCTTCATTCAACCCCTTAAGAGTTTTCAAGAAGAAGAAGAGAGCATAATAGTACTGCAACCACACTATGTCTGTTATAACCATTTCTGACAGTACAGAGCTCATCGGGCTGGAAGGAACACAACAAATAAAGTAGTTGTCAGAACACCAGTTATTTAAGCCATTTGATACAACAACAAATGTTATGTATAATGGAAAAACATAATTAATCATAATCATGCATTGCCAGCTTAGAAAAGGCACACGCACCACAACAACTGTTGGTCTATATTTAAATGACATAAGGAGAAACACACAAAGAAAAACACTCACATATCTGTTAAAAAGAGCTGTAAATTATACTGAATGCAATAAACAAATTTTTCCATAACTAAAAGAATACTTTCAAAAGTACACTAATTTTAACAGTAGAATTACAGCACCAGCTTAAAAAAAATATTACATTTGTGTGTTTTCATCCCATAACACTGGACATAAAAAATTCTAGAAAAGCTATTCTCTAGACCAGTCTTACACAAAAGGACACAAAATGTTATAACAGTGGATAAAGCAATCCAGGAAACAAAATATGGCAGAAGTGATTGTAATTATGATTCCTTGGAAATGCTGGATTCACTTACAAAAATACTTCTCTAAAATGACATGTACTTTTAAACTTTGAGTCAGAAGATAGAAAAAACAAACAATCACAGCATTCACCTACTTTTAATACAAACTCTATTAACCAACTGAGAATATAACCCCACCTGAATGACTTGATGGATCATCTTAGATACTTTATTCATTACAAAAGTAAGTCGCATAGCTCGATCTTCCGGCTTACATTCTGGGCGGAAGAAAGTAGAAGCTCGGTAACGAGCAGCCATGTAGAGTGTATAAGTGGGTGCCAACTTAAATTGCACACGAGTCTGGTCGAGTTGTGTGGTGATAGCACCCAGAAAAGCATCTTCAGCTAGTAAATATAAAACAGTTTTGTATATTTCACATTTATAAAACATACAATAAACCTTTCTGTACAAGATTAAATACCAAAATTCAGACACACTATTCTGTGAAAATAAGTAACTTAAAATTAACCATTTGCTTTATATGAAATATTAGTATATTTTAAATCACCACAAGTAATACAAATCAAAGTGACTGACTGTCTTCCCAGAATTCTAATACAGCTGGCAGTATTGGATCGTTCCCTCTACGTTGGTCATGCCTATCATAACTTCCTCGACCCAGACTGCTCTCCCGTCCAAATGAGCGATGAGAATGAGCATCATCAGATTTTCTTGATATACGATCATCTTTAGAGTGAGTAGAGATTGTTTCTACATTGCCTTCTGCATCAAATGTTGTTTCATAACCCCCCACCTGATGCCCTGAGAGTTGATCATCTCTTTTAATAGTCCTAAAAATATATATATTCAAACAATGTATACAGTAAGAGAGCAAAGTTTAAAGTAGTGTTCGATCATAATGTAAAAAAAAATGTAAATAGTTCTAATGGAGCTTAATCATACAGTGAGTAGACTGTTTTAGGTCTAAATCAGTATGCTGCTAGATATACAAAAACATGTATACAAGGTAAAAGCACAATACACTACTCTGATAGGTATAACCTAAGTACAAGAAGAATGATTAATCTCCATGTAAAAACATTTTTAATAATACCATAAAATCATACAGACTATTTATTCTCAGTTATCTATAAATTTTCATTTAGGGTCATTCTTAAAAATAAATACATTATAAGCCTAAAAATTTCCAGAAGTTATGATTAAAATGAACACAAAAGTTTATATTTTATAAGTTTTTAACAGTTCTTCAGATTAGAAGCATCATATATTGAAAGGGAAACAAAGATTAATTACTTCAAGTCAAAAATGTACTTTAGCATCAGAGGATTTTCATATAAAATGATCTAAACAGGAATATAGCATCAACAGTTCACAGCAGGGTGCACTTACAATATGTTAATGGCAGTTTCTACAACTGTTTTGTGGCTTGGATGCTGTGATAGAATATTTCCAATTTCCCTAGTTAACTGCTTCAATTATGAAAACTATTTCTTGTCAATACTAGACACATTCATATTTCTCAAAATAATAACCGAGTGAGGTAGTATTCTATCCATAATTTTGGCCAATGGGAAAGCTTCTTATCACACCAAAACATTTTATTTCTAAGACATCGATTTGATAAGCAGTCACAAGATAAGAGAGATATATTAACCTGATATCAAAGAGTTGTTTTAACAGGTACAATGTTTTAAGATTCTACATTCATGACAATATATTACCATTTTGTAAAAAATGCATTTTTTAACTGCAATTAATTAGTAAATAATATTTACAGTGTGTAAAACTGAATTTCCATTTTTGACAGTTTTCAGGAAGTATAAAATGTTTTTTTTTTGTAAGATTTTAAAGGTGTTCTCTTTTATCTTAATACTTTTGTCTCTTCTTTTGCCACAAAATATTTTCTTGAACGATTTAGAAAATCAGAATACTAATTTTAACTGAACATATCTTAAGTTAAGAAGAGCTTCATATTTTATTTTAAACACCTTACAACTCTCCAGCTTACAGGTACCTCACTAAGTGCCTGAACCAACGCTTATTTTTTTTTCCTCATCATGGATGCGGCTAATTTTGTGGTGTGCTACCAGGTATGGAGTTGTGATATGCAAGCATATCATAAGTTTTTTTTCCTCCACCTTTATTAATTAAATGAACATGTCTGTTTCTACACAACTTTAGCATAAACAAATGGCCCAAAAATCTCCTCAAATTGTTTTTTTCCTTGTTCCTTTGTATCTCTGTTGTTCTTGATAGCTGACAGTATCTACTCTGCCCACGGGAATGTTGAAACAGATTTGCATATTAGTGCAAGAAAGGATTAACAACTGCAATGTGCATTACTGGGTGTGTGGATAATAAATAAATGTGTTCCAGCCAATAACTGCTGTGAAGGAACAACCAGTAACATGGTGATGACATTGCAAAGAAAAGAACTGAGGTTTCCTGTAAAATCAGAAGCTTTCATACTTTGTGGTCAAAAAAAAGAAAAAAAGCTGATGAATCTCCTAACCAATCAAGCAGAGACAACAGTCTTATTATCTAAGCAAGTACAAGCACCATATTTTCTTTTTGCTGTGTGTTATAATAGCTTGTTTTACACTTCTCAACATGAGTCCAGTCTAGTTATTTCTCAGTCCTTAAAACTCAGTCAGTTTTTAAATTCAAATTACTTCACAAATTTCCTGCTTGATACTCCTGTTATTAAGCAGATCTATTTGACACTTGAATGTAAATCATTTCACCTGAGAAAACCACAACTCACCCTAAACCCCTGTATAAATGCTTTAATCAAGAAAATGTAGATAATGCTCAGTTGAGTAAAATAAATAATAAATTGTTATTAGTTTTTGTAATTTCTTACCTATATTTTAATGAATATCAATAAAAAAATATTTCTTCTGTCTTATCTAAGAAAGATTTTACTATGCAAGAATTTACAGATTACAGGAGGCAATTCTAGTGAGTATAAATGTTGTACAGTCTACTCCAAATACAGTAATCTATATATATGTAATAGCCAAATGTCTATCTGTCTGTCATGCTCTGTTACTCCTAAACAGTTAATCATACGAAAAAACTATATATCAAAATTCCTAAAATTGCATATCACTATAAACATCAATTTGTTAGTCTTCATGTGTGCTGAATGAGAAATTTGAGAAAAAAAAAGTTTTCATTTTGTGAGGGACTTTCACACACACACACACACACATAAATAAAAAAACAGGACTTCTTCCACTGACTGATTGAAATATCTCAAAGATAGAAGCAAGAACAGAAAAAGAGAGGAAGATGTTTGAGTATATATTTGTTGTTGTTTGGGCTTTTTCATTTTGGTATTATACACATGCAAGATTTTATTCTATCATGTCGAATAAAGTGATTTGAATTGAATGTCTCCCCTTTGATAATTCTTATAGAAATGACAATTATCAAACAGCACTCACTTCGGTAGCAGTCATTTCTTACATTCAGTAAAATGACAAAGAACAGTGAAATACAGCAGAAAAAAAAATCCCTGCATCTCCTTAGCACACCTGAGTGCTCTATTGTGCTGCATGCCCCTATTGCATCGAAAACCAAAGATGTTTGCTAACGTTGCTTTATATTCAGTTTCCTTTGCTTAAAAACAAATGGAAAGCAATTTTCCTTACTGAAATAACATATGAAATGACAAAAGACAGTTGTAAACAGCCCACTAGGCAATCATATTGCATATACACTCTGATCCCAGGGATTGGGCTGACTGCACATTTTATATTTATTCATCACTATTTTTAGGAAAATTAACATTAAACTGTTTCAACAGACATCTGCTAGTAGTCACATAATTGACATGAAGAATATATTAAAGACTGAAATCTCTTTACCTTTCAGAATATTCAACTGACTGCTTAGGATCAGGAGATGAAATGTGTTTCTATAAAAACAAAAAATTGAACTTTATAACAGTAATAACAAAAATATAAACCATACTTAAACAAATGAAGAATATAGTTTCATCTCATGATCAGCTTGTGTACTATATGTTTCTGATTTAATTCAGACAAACTGTGACAATTTTCACATCACAGGGTCAAAGCTTCAAGATGCACATATTCTATAAGTTTTTACTTTTATTCATTTTAATTATGTAACATTATTACATTATGAAATCACATTGAAATTCTTGGGCAATGTTTTTAGTGTACCTTTTCGACAACCCTAAGTTCTGATATTACTACACAATCTGGCAGAAATACAAGGCAATATAATAGCTGTAAAAAAAATGCTTATTTATGATCCAAGTAAGAAACTGAAATTCCACATGATGTACTTATAAAACATCATGAATATCCATCACTGGAACTGTTAATCCCAGTTGGACCTACATATCTTTAACCCACTGACTATTGATTTGTTGTATAGGGTATGGTCCTCCTCCAGCAGTTGAATGCAAGTGTGCCGTATCCAATGTACAGCATACAAACATTTCGCGCATGTTCGGAACAGCCACAGTCAATGGGTTAAAAACTATAGCCAGTTGTTAGAAGTATGATTTTGAGACAAAGAAACACTTTAAATTATTTCTCTAAAACTTGCCAGCTCTCCCATTAACAAATTGTTAATATTGTTTAGATTTCTTTTAAATTAAATACTGAGTTTATATTTCAAGCAGTACTGTTCTTAATGAACTGAAAGTTCCTCTACTTTAACATACTGAAACAGTCAACTGTACAAAAAACTATAAGAAGTTCAGCTGTATTTCTTACCTGTTCTTGTGTTGGATCAATAAAGCAGAAAGTATGCATTTTGCCGAATCGGACAACCATCCCATGTTGAAGAATAGTGGTCTCAAAAATTCGTATTCCATTTACGTATGTTTCAGCATCTCGACTAGTAGGTGTAACAGTGACAATACCTTCAGTGTGTGCTATAACACAATGTCGGGGATGAACACTTGGACCAAAAAGCTATACAGAAAGTCCCAATATAACTTATTAAAAAACAAAAGTTAAAAAAATGCATAATCACAAAATTAATAAACAATGGTGGATTACAGCATTCAGCATTTTTCTCAGTAATACAAGAAAGATAAACTAGTATGTTTCTGTACTAATATTGGTCTATAATAAGACTTCTTCATAGCCATTACAGTATAAGAAACACACAAGAGACATTAGGCAAATTTTTAGATAAATATAAGAAACCCCTATCAACAAGCTAACGCTTTCCATATAGGCTAAGTCATTGCACCTAACATGTAACCACCAAAGTAACCATGAGATTAATCTTCACAAAATCTGACAAGCTTTCAATAAACATTACAAGTCTTTTGTACACAAAAATCAGAATTTTTAACAAAGTATTTTTACTAAAAATTTCTCTGTGAATATAGTCAAACTCACTCAAAAGTGTTGACTGCAAGTACACAGTGACTTTTATGTTAAGATTAAAAATACTTTTCATCATCTGAAAATTGTCAAATTTCATTTGTATAATCTCTAAAACCTCATGAATAAATATTAAACATTTTTTTTAACAAAAACTTTATATTTATTTGTTATTTTCTCTACCCTAACTCTATAAGGGATAGCTCAATTTGGCCAACCTCATTAACACCATAAAAAGTTATGAAATAAATCCAAGTTAATCTTTTTTTTTCTTTCTATAATGAGTGCAAATTGTAACATGGAATTACAATTGTATATCTTAAATAGCTTAAAGTTTATAACAATATACATTTATTTATATTTAAATTTATTGTTTAATTTTTATTTAATTAAATAATGCACATAAAAACACAAAAACAACATGTAAAAAACAGACAATGTTCTATAACTATCATACTTTTTCTAGCTTTCTAACTATGTGATAAGAGCCATTAAAAATTCAGCTAAGCTAGTGGATGTATTTCCCATGGGAGTAAAGTTTGAACTAGAAGCAAAATAAACAATTCTCTGAGCAGAAAACAAAATAATATAATGATAATTTCATAGATTAAAACTTTGGCTTTGTATTGGTTATAAATAATATAGTATAAAACATCAGAGAGAAGTAATGACAATTCATGAAAAAGAGAACGTGAGAGGTGGGTGTGGCAAGACTGATGTGATTTTCTAGTTTATGGCTCCATAAACAAATAAGATTGAAGACTATAAAAACTGCTTTATTTGAGTAATAACCATATTAAATTCTGTACTTCTGGGAGGGATTGTAAATAATTAGAGAAAAGGGGAAATCAAGAGAGTAAATATCACAATTCTCATACTTGGGTGATATTGAGGATTTTTTAAAATATTTCCTTATACAATTAACAACTTAAAACTTATATATGATATTAAAGAATGATTTATTAACTCTGTTTTGATGCCAAGTTTTACTCACATTCACTGATATCAATGTAGTTTAAATTTTGAATGTAACTCTGTAAACAGTTGTGACATGAGCAGAAAAAGAGTACCCACAGAGAAAGAATTAATCTATTTGTAAATGTCACAGCTCAAACATTTTCTTCTGAGTTTGAAACTCTTTCTAAAGATATTAGTCTGTAGAAGAACCGTACACGAAACTCCAGTTCTACAAATCCTGTGAAACAAAATACAATCTTCTAAATGGCCTTCAAAGACTACTAAAAATAGCTATTGGCCCAATTATAAGGTTATGTTTTTGATTAATAATTAGGCGGTAATATTCATAGTCACCTTATAATCGAGGCTGACCGCACTCCCCTTCCCCTTACTCTAACCTGTCCCATTCCTGAATGTCCAGATAGCATTTGTCTATGCATGTGTGCCAGATGTTCGCTCAAGGTTATTGCTAATTCTTGCAGCTAATCCACCTGCAGACTGTTCAGTTATAGTATTGATTTTGTTGGTACATTATTGTTTTGACTGTGTTCATTTTACATTTTATAATAATTGTTGTCTGTGAGTTTCATTTTAGTGATCAACCCTTGTGCAAGAATGAGTGACCACATTTGAAAGACAGGGAACAAGAAAGTGTCAAATTAACAAAGAATTATGATGGATGCAAATCTTAAAATTATGTTAGTGCATGAGACAGATAAAACAAAATTGTATCACTGCTAGAAAATTTGGTGTAACTGAAAATAATGTGAGGCATTGATGTAAACAAAAGACTTAACTCCTTAACTCTATCTGCCCATGCATCATTTACTGTGCAAGTCACAAGGTTTTAGTGGCTTACATTTAAAATTTTACTAATCTACTTTTTGTTTATGTTAGTTAGAAAGCCAGAAAAACTGTGATAATTAGAGGAAATTGTCTGCTTTTTGCACGTTATTATTCTATGTTCTTTAGTGCATTATTTAATTAAATAAAAATTATTTTGTTCATTACTACCATTAGTATAAACAAAGTAGGGTTAAGTGACATCTACAATCAACAGCAAAAAAGATGACGACATGGGTAAGTACTTTATTTCTGGTTTTTCATGTTTATTCTTTATTTGTTATTATAAAAGTAATTAAAATGTAAAAATAGGGATCTCTTTAGGTTACTTAAGGTTAGATTAGGTAAAAAAAAAAGTTTCATAAGGCATGCATGCGAGCAGCTCATGGGTAACGTAATTTGAGAGCGTAACCTTAGCTGCACATTCCGAAGTGAGTTACAACTTATAATGGCATGAATAGTAGTTAAACACAGTTCAAAGTGCAATAAAACAATAAAATTTAATTAGAAATAGATGTATACCATTACGAGTTTAAAGCTACTTGGGATAAACGAATGTAGTTTCATGTTACAATTTGAAGTCATTCTAGAAAGAAAAAAAAGAGGGTAATTTAGATTTATTTTGAAGATATACAGACTACATTAAAAGTTAGTAGTTTCAACTCTATAAAGACTTTAAACAAGTACAAAGAGGTCATGTGGTTGGTCAAATTGACTGAGCCCATATGGAGAGAGAGAGTTAATGCACATTCTACAAGAAAGGCATTTTGTGGACCTAACAAAAAAAAAGGAAATTATGACACTCAATTTTTTTTCTTTCACGTACTTTCTGAAAATGGGGGTTGCTTTATATTAAATATCACCCTATAATCAGGCCAATATATATAAATAATCAATCAAAATGTTGTTAATCTAAGCTATGAGGTTTGATAGTGATACTACTCCCTACGTGCAACCACTGAATAATTAAATCTGTTTTAAACTTTTGTCTTATTAATCTGAACTATGCTGTATGGTTTTTGATATTCTTAAGAATTGTACTTCAGTACTGATATAATTATGCAGACATTGCTGGAAATTACTGTCCTACCTGTAAATACTGTCCACCTGTAGAACTTGATCTTTCACTCCCAACCTCTGTGACATTCAGGAAGAGACGATGTTTTTTTGGACTTCCATGTAAAATTTCACTGCCGTCTATTGAGAAAAACAAATGTTTGTTTGATCTTTCTTTGAATACGTATTGGCAATTTTCAAAAACTGTTGGTTGTATTTATATTTTGGTTTTGATACAATACCAGCAAATAAAAGCCATGAAGTCTTTACAGTTATTCTTTCTCTGTTAAAAAAAAAAAGCATTTATTCCAAAAAGTTGTTTCCACAATGAGTGGTCATCAAGAACTGAATTGAAAAATGCAACTATATTTAACCCTTTGACTGCAGCTGCTCTAAACGAGAGTAATTTTTTGTGAGCCATATACTGTATACAGCACACTCGCATTCAACTGCTGAAGGCAGACGGTACACTATAGGGTGAATCAGCAGTCAATGGGTTAAAGCATACAGAGAAACAATATATATATAATGCCCAGAGAGAAACTTTTAGAAATTCTACAATAAATCAAAATTAGATAACACTTTTCCCAAAGACTAGCTAATATTATTATAATATTAATATAAGACTATTAATAACAAAAGTTGATGAGTTTTCTTGATAAAAATAATTTGTACTTAGCTCTCTCTCTCTCCCGAGAATCCATTCAAAAATATTGTTCTTCAACCAGATTTTTCAAGACCAAGAAAACTATAACATCTATTCTCTTTGTTATCATTATACTTAATTAGTTATTAAATAACAGTTCAGTTACAACAAAAGAGGTGAACTAGTTTCCTAATCTTGTATACATAAAAACTGTACTATTGTTTAAACCTAGATGGCAGCACATTTATTACTTACTAGTCAAACTACTTTAACAAGAAGAAACGTTTTGAAACAAGATAAGGAATAACAAGAGAGAATACAATATTAATTTAAATACATTTTCATTTATAAATGAAATTAATAAATATGACAGTTGTTGGTCATTCAAATACAAAATTAAAAATTCACCTGGATTAAGTTCTAAGAGGTAAGGCATTCGTCCTAAAGAGTCCTCATACTTATAAGAGGAAGTGTCTGAATTGTCTTTAGAATGTTTTTGTTTCTTTTTTCTCTTCCTAGGCTGATAATCTGCTGGTCTTCGTTTAATATGAAATGAAAGAGAACCTTGGGAAAAAATGTAAATAAATTATTAAAACAAATCTTTAAAGGGGAGGGGTGAAACAAATTTATGCATACAAGTTCAAGGATAATACACACATTTTCTATCCTTTAGTACACTAAATTTTACATATTTTATATGAAGAATGCAAGATCTTAAACTTTACTTAAGGAGCAAAGAAAACAAATGTCAGTATTTGCATGAAAATGGTTTAAGAATCTGCTGCCAAAATACCATGTAATATATTTAGTTTCTTCTTTCAGATTATTACATATGTACACTAAATCATGTACACAAAAAACTGAAATAACAGTAATTAAGAAAAACTATAAAAAAAAGGTTCAGTATGACATATTCCATGTGTCTGTAAACTTCCCTTTCAACAAAGAACACGAGACACAAGATTACAGAGCCATATATATATGTATGCTTATAAAGGGAAACTTGATGTTCCATTTATGAAAGGTTACACTAAAACTTTTGTTGACATATCAAATTTTCTGGAAAACTTTTAAAACAGCAAATATAAATCTCACTCAAGAAATTTTATCAATTATAATTGATTAATGTAGAAACCATTCATGATAACAAAGGTTTTCCCAAACTTAGCAATAATAGCGTACTTTTCAATTAAATTTTTGTAGTATTATTAGTATTGTTGTGAACACGAAAAAATAGTAAAAATGAAAAGCATGCTTTAGATTCCTTGTGGAGAACAGTAACACAAAGTTTTTAACTTCTAGTACTCACATAAAGAATAACAAACTCAAAAAGTTAGGCACTACAACTTATTTAGGGAACTCAGGACATTGTGATCTAAAAACATGGTTAAAAACCATGACAGGCCGATTGACTGTTTTATTTCAAACATTAATTTTAATAACAGTTTTATATCAAAGTGTTCTTAAGTTTTTGAATAAACAAGTTCAAGACTTCCGGTTGCCTAGAGGTAACTACAATTAACAAGATGTATATGTATAGCTGATTAACTTGATTAATCAACATAATCAATTATCTATGAGCATTGATTACATTGATTAGTATTACATAAAATAATCAATTAATTGAAATTATAACTAAACTAATTAATGTCACAAAAATAATCAACTAACCAGAATTAGTGTTTTCGATTATACAAATCATCCACATAATCAAAATATTGCTTGTATGACTTCTCATTATTATTTTCACTTAACTCGAGGTTGTTCAGCTTAAATGATTAGTATTTCCAATAATTAGTATATTTGCTCATTCCAACTATTCAAGTCTCATTTATATACATAAAAGTCAATCTGTTTGTGACACTCTCTGTGTGTTGGTTATGTTCAGATTGGTTCAGTGGTTTGTCTCAAACAGAATTCTCAAGTTCAACTTCCAGTCGAGTGGAGATTTTTTATGACTTTTTTTAATTATTAAGCTCATCATATTCAGAGCACGATAATACAATATTATATTTAAAAAAATAACAACACAGTAGTTTAAATTAGGGATTTGAATAATTTGTTAACATTCAATTACGGAGACTGGGTGTCACAATGATTATGACACTTTGCTATCATGTAGACGCTCAAGTTCAAATCCCAGTCGAGTTGGGATTTTATGTTAATTTTGTTTATCATATTTATTTCTTACACATTAATTATTATATTTACAACAGGTTCTTTGAATATAAAAAAAAATTAATACAATTACAGGTTAAATGGGGAGAATATATGACATAATTAACACTAGTGACCCTATGTCAAAAACAACTTAAATATATTTTCAACCCAAGAGATGGCGCTATAATATTATTATTATTGATGTTTTTACCTTTGGTGAGAACTTTTTTTTAATTTTGTAAAAAACTGTATGAGCATTTTCTATGAAAATTTATATATTCTTTACCATCACAATTCATAAATTAGAGAATAAGATGTCTGAATGTAATCAATTAATAAGCCCAACAATTAATCTATTATCATATTCCAATACTAACACAGCTTTACATATGATGAGTACAATTTTCTAATAATTATAAAGCTTGGTGAAATACAGTAGCACACTGAAGTTAGCTTATGAAACCTAAGATAATTTTCCAACATACAGTATAAGAAATAATTAAGGAAACAGTGAATAAAATGGGTGTAACATTCAAATGTTATGAGATAGTTCTCTTTCTTTTATGTATGAAAATGAACAGTACTAGAGTAGTTACATGTTAATAGTTTAAACTGTGAGTGGTTATCATCTAACAAATCAGACAGTGCCATACAAGAGAATAAAGCCTATAAAGATATAAGCAGTCATACTATTCCCAGCATTAGTGTGGGATTGAACTCATGGGTTCTAGGGCAGGAATGCCACAAGACAAACGTATATAAAAAAAAAATATGTGCTGGTGAAAACAACTACATTTGTCAGATTATGACAAAATTTCATGTTTCAATAGAAGCTGTACATAATATCTGAAGAGGATGAATGAAATTAGTACTGTTGGCAACAACTCTTAAAAAGTTATGTAACTCGTGGTATGCTAGTATTACCTTCAGAATAGCAAGTAAAACATTAACATGAAGTGGTCTCAATAGATGTGTAGCTGCTCAAAAACCAGAAGAAAAAATAAAACCAATAAGCCAAAATAGAAATCTGACTTCAAACAATTGGATAAGCAATGTAGGAAGAGGGTGCTCATTTTATAGATTAATAGAAATTTAAAATTGTTTGACAATAATAAACTGAAGTTTGCTTAGTGGCCGAGAGGAGAACAGTATCACTGACAACAAACAGCACTAACAGTGAAACAACTTGGGGGAACAAAACAAGTGTGGATTGCAACTCAGCCAATGGTGCTGATGACAATCACAAAATTGATGGTACCCTGAATGCTTGATGACAATCACAAAATTGATGGCACTTTGAATGCTGATGTTATGAATTCAAAAATAAGACATGTCCAATGGACAATCTCATACAATGTGGTTAAACAATACCTGGAAGGCATAACATGTCAATGTATACTCTGAACCATAGCTTAGCCTGCACAAAGTCCTGATGTGAATATCATAAGACTATGTGTATAGACACAAGTACATGCTCTCATCCCACAGCTCTGGAAATGTACATGATGTGTAGGCATAATAAACTTATTAAATGTCAATTACACTGCCCCCAAGAAAAAGACAATTTGGTACCTATGGCTGTATGAGCCAATATGGAAACTGAGAATGTCAAAACAACCAGACAACTTGGTTGAATTGTGGGGAGTACTACTGGAGACTTAGAACAATGTTTCACAATTAAAAGTTGAAAAACTTCTGGTCACATAACAACAATGTAAATGCTCTGCTTAAAGCAAATACAAAATACTAATAATGCATTATACAACTTATTTACTTTTCTTTTGTATTTTCTGCAACAATGTTTTTTTATTAATAGTAAAGTGACCATTTACTTGTATACTTATTGTTTTCTGAGACTCCTGTTTGTGCATCATCTATACATTTCTATTATTATTTCCGGCACTGTATGTTTATAAAGGTTTAAACACTGTCATAAATAATGCTATTTCTGGTTTTAAATAATGAGAAACTTAAAACTAAATTTTTGGCCATTAACTAATCAATATCAGTGGTACACAAGCTATGACATACTTTTTGGCTATTAACTAATCAATATCAACGGTACACAAACTATGACATACTTTTTGGCTATTAACTAATCAATATCAACGGTACACAAACTATGACATACTTTTTGGCTATTAACTAATCAATATCAACAGTACACAAGCTATGACATACTTTTTGGCTATTAACTAATCAATATCAACAGTACACAGGCTATGACATACTTTTTGGCTATTAAGTAATCAATATCAACAGTACACAGGCTATGACATACTTTTTGGCTATTAACTAATCAATATCAACAGTACATAGGCTATGACATACAAAACTTCACTTGTTTCTCAAATGATCATTTCACAATTAATTTGTCTAAAGCTATGCATCTTGGCTTCGACAATTCACTTTTTTTATTAGTTACTGTGCATGTAAGTGCTGAGCAGTTAGTGGGATTTGTTAGTCAATAAATTTTCTTGCTCATTAATTGATTACATTTAACTAATTCATTATTCTCATCAGACTTCGATAGTCAAAGTAATACAGTAATAATCAGAAACACTAAATTCAATTACTTGATTATTTTCATGAGTTCTGATAATAATTGATTAAGCCAAGAAACTGAATTAATCACAAATATTAATGAGAAATCATTATTGCAATATTTTGATTTCTTGGATAGCTGGAACAATTGAAAACACTAATAACTGAAACATTAATTTGATTCTTTTTGTGGTATTAATCAATTTAATTGTAATTTTTATTAACTGATTACTTTATATGATGCTACTTGATGTAATTGATGCTCATAGATAATTGACCATCTCTACTTTGCATCACTTAATATCACTTGATATAATATTGTGCAATCCTTAATATAGCATATGTTGTTTAAGACCCCCCCCCCAAAAAAAAAGACAGATTGAAAAGACAGGTAAAACAGGATTTTATATTATAAATGTTTTAGGTGATGATCTTTTCAGTAACTATTTTCAGGCTTACTAGTGCATTAAGCTTTTAAGTTTTAAAATAAAAGCATAAATTCAATGTTAATTTAAAAATCCAAATTATGCTCTTAAGCTTCCAAAAAAAAAGATAAAATATTAAATGCATAGGTTTAGCAGAACATCAAATCTGAGTTTAATCTTTATATGCAACTGATATATCAAGTGTCTTGTATGTTTAGGTCATCACAAATAGTTAGAAACATTAACCTCATAGCTTCCTGTCTTTTGATAATGGTATTTTTCTTAAGCTAAAACCAAAGGTTACTAACTTCGAAACAGTTAAGCACAAGTTCAAAAACAGGCAAATACCTCTCTAACAAACTTCAACCACACACACACACACACACACCCAAGGTTAGTTAACTATCACAAACCTTTATTATTTCACTACTCATAATAGTTAACTATCAAACAAAGTTTACCTTTTTCAAGTTCAGAGTATACTAACAATAAGACATGTGACTATGAATGATAACAACAAAAATAAGAAAGCCACCCTGTACAGACTGATAATTTCAGATATTTTTATAAGAACATATGTGCAGGTTGTTGTATGAAAGCTATGACAATTATCAAATGTTATGACGTATACACACACACACACTGCAGACTACAATCTAATTTGTGATAAAAATTTGAAAACATTCTCAGACTCTCAATATGGATAAGATATAGTCTGAAAGATAAATTTATCTGTAGTAAAACAGAGGATATCACAATAACCTTTAAGGAAAATAAAAACAATTAGGTCGCAAATTACATCAAGATACAATTACGTGTACTATTCAACTACAAAATATAATTGATGTCCCTCTTCATGATCAAAGTAATGCCCTTTGGGTTTTACATTAGTTTACGAAAACCATTCACCTCATACACTTTTGTATTTATTATAATACTGCCTGGCACTTCTAAGTCCTATTTTACATATGCATATCATCACAGAGAAATACATACATTTCTACAAGCACTAAACATATGAGAGTACTGACAAGAAAACAAACCTTTTAATTATTAGGTGCTATGTAAATGCCAAATAAAAATGTCACTGTCCCACCCAGTCAATGCTGATCCAGTTCATGCAAATTAAAGGGAACACGACTTTTACTGACATTTGTCAAAAGTGCTACAAACTTGGTTGTCGAGTGACTTATAGAAGAAAAAAAATGGAGGTATGGGCCACCGTGTGGACAGCTTATGGTTATGGTAGCAGTTTAAACAAATTCTCAACAAAATCATGCTGAGACCATTAGACTTTCAGTAGATAAAGTAAGCAGAAAAACAATGTTTAGAAATAACAAAAATTCAAGCCCAGCATACTATGCAGAACCACCAAAGCCACCAGTGTTTTACTAAAAGTGGGATTATTCTGACTCCAGAATTGTCGATACTATACAAGTATATTCTTGAGTAATCAAGAGAATCAATCAATGATGGGTGATTCTCCCACCAAAAGCGTTGATTCTAATTCCAGCCATTTCAAAAGAAATTACATAGGGGATTAATACTGATAAAAGTCTATTTTGGTTTGTGAACCTCACTTTATGTTCAGATAGAAATGGTGTCTGTTTATTAAGAATTATCATTTCTACTCTGTTCCAGTTTTTCTACCCTACTACCATGTTTTCTCACACAAGTCATGTATATCACCAGTTCACAGAATGACCTATAAAGCAACTATCGTCTCCCTTCTATTATTTTATACTTTGTTTGTAGTTTAAACATTTTAAGCCATTTAAGCACTAATGAAGTCTGTTAACACTACTTTCTGAGAATCAGTAATATCAAAATCAAGAAGCTGATAAAATTGCCCTATTTGTTCTTTCTACATATATCAACACAGCACGTTCAAAGTGGAAATTTCATCAACATACTAAGTATTATCCACAAATGAATGCATCAACTCATATTTAGTCTAACTTATTTCCAATTAGAATAAAAAAGTTATCGAAAACCATGAGAAAACAAAAAATGAAGAGTGCATATTTCATACCTTTCTTAGTGTTAAACTGTCTGTCAATGATCAAGGGACAGTCATCATCATCTAGAATGTATTCCCTGGGACTAGGCGAATGGGAATGATAGTCTTGAAGATTGTCATTACTTACTGTAGGAATGATTACTTGTACCAAACAATACTGAAGTGGATCTTCTTTTTCTCTGCCATACTTTTCCAAAACTTCTTTTACAACATTACTAGCTGTATCATTAGTGGACAAGAGTAAAGTCTTGTAAGGCACATCCTTGTTGAGAGATTCTCCATAGATCTTAAGAGTACCACCTAAACACAAATTGAACAAGATCAGAAACTTAGTGTGTTAATTCTTATCAAAAAGACCGTTCCTATCAAAACCGTTCCTGTAAAAACTTTAATCAGTGCAGTTAAGAAAGTAATCCTTATAATATAATTTTACATTATCTTGAATTTTCTAAAATAATTTAATCAAACTTTTATAAATATATTGCTTGCTTATTACTAATGTAAACCTAAATACTGTTAACTGAGAATTTTATTACTAGTTTTATCACTCTCATAAATGACTGAACTTTTAGGCATACCTGTTAACATTTTGAGATCCCTTAAAACAAAGTACATTAAATTAGGCACATACGTGTTTTGTTGTTTGTTTGTTTGTTTGTGTGTGTGTGTGTGTGTGTGTGTGTGTGTAAAACATATGCTGACTGTTATCTGCAAATGGGAAATCATCTTTCACATTCAATCCCTTCCTAAACTGGAATTGACACAAAATGAATTTATTACTCTTTCAGTTCTTTTACCAAAAACTATTGTTTACACAAGCAAATTAAAAATGAACTACATCTTTCTTGCAATTAAAAATAAGCAAGTGCTAAAATCTTACCAGCATCAGCACCCGTCTGTCCAAACAGTTGCAGTTTCTTCTCTAGTTTCTGTTGACGTTTCCGCCTCATGACCGCTTCAGGGTTAGATATAGAACGAGTAAAACTTGTCTCTGGGAGTTCCGAGTAGAGTCTTTCAGCAATACCATCTTTGTTTTCTTCATCCCCCTGGATTGAGAAAATAATGCAAAACAACTTTTGTGAAGTGAAATAGTTTCTTTGAGAAGACTATGTTTATACTATAAGAAATTAAACTCTGAAAAACATAATCTTCAGTGGCTAAACCTTTTCCATGGCCAAAAACCAAGAGTATATAACATTTACTTTAATCCACATTCTAATCATTACTAAAATGCTTTGTTTTTTCCTCTTCCAAACACTTCCTGACCAGTGGAGTGCAGTATTGGTTCTTAAAATGTTACCCACATCCAGGCCAAGAAAATCATTCATTACTAGAACCAAAACAATTATGCATTACACTTCTTACATCCCAGCACAGATTTGTCTAAGTATTAACATTTAATAATTTTAAGAAAGGTTAATCAAAGCACTGCAATTAAAGTGTTTCCTCTAAAAGACTATTTACACCTGAAGCTTACAATAATTCTGCCAATGTTTTATCCAAGCATTAACTTACAATAGCTTCATCAAAAGTTAATCTAAAAATAACATGTCAATAACTGGACCAAGTATAAATCTATACACAGCATTCACGTGTACAACCACTGTACAAAGGTTTACACAAACATTTTACCAACAACAACTAAAATAAAGTTAATCTTTGAGCATTCGAAAAAAAGTACATTCAGACAAGACAGCAACTCAAATAAGATTTTTCTCAGTATGATACTCATATCACCAAAAAAAAATATATCTAAAATATTTTGTTTTAACAACTCCAAAGCTTTTTTAGAAACAAACATCAAACTTGCACTACAAGTGAGAACCAACATTATACTTGTAAGAACTTGTAGGGAAGTAAGAAAATTTAAAGTCAACACATCGTCTAGCTACACACTGATCTCATGATAATTTAGAAAAGCTTTGACGGAAGATGAGTCAAAATGCCTTTGATAGGTTAATTATTTGACGACATTTTTCTTTCATGGTTTTCTTCCTCACATCTGTAAAGCTAACACTTAGAGGTGACTCGAGTGGTTATTAGAGTTGATAAAGAATGACTAATGTGGCAGTTACAGCTAGAAACAAACATAATCAGTTTGAACAGTAAACATGTAATATATGCCACTTATCTGTAATAACATAACATTAACAAACTGACTTCTTAATGTTAGCTCTAATGTTCTATACTAATGCAATTACTGTACAAGAGAGACTTTGAAAGTATTACAACTGAACATTCTTTCCCAAATAATTATAGTCATTAGCAAATATTTCAAAAACACGAGCACTGAAGCACAACTACATAAAGTATACACGGTAAGCTAAAAAAAAGGGGTTGTGTTATTGTACTTTATAAATCCTAATTAAAATTTCATTACCTAATTAGCCATTTTGTTAAATTAAGATTTATAAAGTCAATAGTAATTCAAGTCAACCAAATAATTAAAAACTAATTTTCAAAGAGAATTAAAATATTTAATGCATTAACATTTTCTAATGAAATCCTTAATTATTCCTAAAGGGCTCAGCATAAAATAAAACTTTCAAATACTTAAACACTGCGACTAAATAAATTACAGCCTACTACTGTCATAAAACACAGAATTTGCTACGATGTATCAAAAGGAAGTATCCCGATATTTTAAACACTATGGAATTGTAATTTTATGATACTTTTCTTAATATGTAAATTGTGCTACTGACTAAAACTTACATATAAATGGTTGAAACAGTGAACTGATATGATGAAAAATGTTTCAAATAAATGCAAGCATTTTTTTTATCAAAAAATAACAAAAAAAAAATAATTTTAAGAATGTAAAAATGTGTAATTATAGAGAGAAATTTTAAGGCAAACAGACCAGAGTAAAGACTAGAATTGTTTAACTGGAGTATTTAGATTACATGTACATTTAACAAATATTCACACCAAACATTTCTGATTCTACAATTTCCAGAGCACATCTAAAATAGTGTTAAAAATGTAAATTGAAATATTATTCCCAGAAAATTATTTTATTTTTTTTTACTAAAAACACATTTTATGAAGTAAGAAGACAAATTTCATTAACTGCATATAAATCTGTAATATTTGCAACTAAAATAATACTTTGGTTCTATAATGACACGAACCGTAACTAAAACCTATAATTTTAGTCAAACAGTTCCAAAATTATGTTTCTTAAACCAAAAGTCTTCACTTTTTATCTTGTATTATTCACTGTATATGTTGTGTAAAGTGAAAAACACACTGTATGTGGATATAAACAAGTGAACGTTCAAAACAAGTCAAAAACAAAATTGATATCTCACAAAAACCAATTACAAAAACATTTAAGTTATTTTAGTAACGTATTTCTGTACTATTAAATCTAAAATTTTAATTATTGATGTTAAAAGCTTACCTGCAATCTCTCCCTTTTCTCTTTTTTCTTCTTCTCCTTTTTCTCTCTCCTCGACAACTTCCTGATGAAACTGTTGTTTGTATTGTTTTCACTAGTGTCCATGACTGCATATGGTATCTACAACAGAAAAAAATAAATAAATAAAGTTTCTATTTGTTAAATTTAACAGGAACAGAACTAAAAGTAAAAACCATCTTAAAAACATCTGTTGATTTTAGTAAAGATCTGAATGTGATATACCCAGTTTTAAACAGCATATAGATACCGAGTACTTTTTATTCCATTGAAAGACTTCATTATTTAAAATAATTCATGAAATCCTTTAATCAATATTAAACGATTTTTTTTTGCTAGGGTAAGTTTTATGTATTCCCTATAAAAAAACAAATACTGCAGAATATTTAGTGGTTTTATTTTTGAATTAAAAACTACATTCATATGGGTGAAAAATGAGGTTATTATGTAATACAAGGGTCTAGTCAGACCTGTACAGAAAAAACTAACCAGATCCAAACTTGTTTATAGAATTATTTAAAACAAGGATGTGTTATGATAAATTACACCAAATATGATATAGATGATATATATTCAACTTAATTTAGAGTAAATTAGGCCTAGCAAAGTATAACTGACTAACATTTTATTTTTATTACCAATCCTTTGCTGTTAATATTTACAATTTAATGATAAATGCTAACTACCTATAAAAGTTAGGATATTTCATCACTAGATGTTAATGACAATGGTTTATTAAAATGTTTTGTCTACATACGGAGATAGTGTTTGAAAAAACCGGGCCTAAGTATCATGAAATGAGACTTTCACTGGCACTTACCAGTCTTTTAATTAATAAAAACACAAGGTATGCCATAAATGCATTATTCTGTTACTTTAGAACCAAATGGCTGTAAGCCTGTTTCCACTTTGTACATTCAAGTGTAAATCAGAATATAGGTCATGAAAACAAATGAAGAGCGTATTTCTTTACCGAGCAAACATGCTAAATATGAAATGAGTTATATCAATAATCAAGAATTAGAGGGAAAAGGCTTTCACATATTAAAGATGAAGTATGTCGGAAAATAAATGACATTTCAGGTTAGCCAAGTTCATAACAAATAAAACACAGAATACTTCAGTCCTAGCTGCCATTACATAAATATACAGGATGTTTGTTTTATTGAACGAAATAAAAGATAAAAGAGTATATACCATTTATGAATAACCACAACCATCATTAGTGTGGGGGGTGGGACAATCATGATCATAGAAAGGGTGCTGATATTCCATAGATATCTTGACTTAACCAAAAATAACTCTGAAATGGTACAGTTAACTTTCACTAGATCTGATCACAGAGGGCTCTGTAGTGACTTTACCTCCAAGGTAGTAGCTTTTAGCAGAGAACAGGTACCAAACAGGTGTATTGCAGGAGTTGCAACTTCCTTATTCTCAAGTTTTACCATCTGTGTAGCATTATTATTATTATTGATTTTTTTTGTTGCATAAGTTACAACATTAAATAGATAACTAACTTGTCTGTAATAACAGCTAATCATGATAGTTGAACTTAACAGACACAGCAGAACCCAACGAGACAATTTATTGGATCAAGTGACTTTCTTCTCCTTAATGATCTACTTTTAATCCCTACTTCACCTTTTACAAATAATGCATAAAAACTGAAATAATAAATACTTACAATTTTATGTGTAACAATACTACCAACCTGGTTTTACTTATGTTATTATTTCAAATGATATAATCTTTTTATATTCTTTAATAACTAATTAAAGTTATAAAAAAAAATTACACATCCATATAATGGATTACCCGAGATAAATATATTTTATTTTACACTTACCATTTCATTCGATACCATCTAATACATGTTTATACCTACATATACCAACAAAATTTGATAAGGTGGCTGACTCATATACCTCCTTAGCGAAAAATATAGAGCATTGCTAAAAATGTTCTTTATTAACAAATCAATATTGCATCAACTGGTTCAAACATATCCAGCAACAGAATAATCTTGTTTACTCACTTTTGTTAACCTTCTTTAAAGATAAGATTTAATTGACAAGTAATCACGTGCTTCACTTTCAAAACAACTCGGGAAAAACATACAAACACAGATTTGTGTTATTTATTAATTAGTAGCTCAACATCGTTGGAAAACTTTTATTTCAATTTTAGTTTTGTTCTTAAAAAAACTATTCAAGTTTTGCATTTGATCTTTATTATTGAGAAGAAAAGTTTAAACGTCCTCATAATTGGCTATCTTTAGACCAAAGTCCTACTGGTAATGATTTTATATTTTGTGAGATTGCTTTATATGTATGCACATCACCTTATCTATGAATTACTTTAAATTGCATCTGAAAGTTTCACCCTTTCACAAAGTTAAAGTGTCCACAAGTTTAACTTTTTTCAAGGTCTACTTTATATCATGTCTGCATGAGTCACTATTTCTAAGATCCACTTCACTTCTGCATATTTCATTTTTCATAAGGTCTGCTTTATATCATGTCCACAAAAAAACTGAAAACTGACAATATTGTACTGTTCAATAACAAGAATACATCTTCATTCAGGTATATTCTAGTAATTTCTTCAAAACTGTGATACAGGTTTACCCCTCTCAAAAAAAGTCACCCTTCCTGAAACGTAAGATGAGGATAACTTCAAGTAAGATTATGAAATATTGTGCCAGGACCCTGGTCTGACAAAAAACACAGAACTAATACAAACCTTATCTTTATCTTGTAAAGCAGTTTTTTCTCTCTGCTGTATCAGCAGTAAAGAGTGGCCAACTGCACAAGAAGCCAGCTCATTTGGAAGCATAGGAAACAATCTATAAATGTTTATGTGAATACACAACACTCCATGTTTTTATTTAGAAAATATTTTTATTTATTTCTTCTACATTTCTGTCTCACTTTTGTTGTTGTCTGAGTTCGATATATTTTCCTACAAAGCATTTTCTTTTCAAACCTCTCATATTGGTTAGTTTTGCCTGTGAATACCACATTTGCATGTTTAACCTTTAGTAAACTTTACTTAGAATCAGGTAAAGGTTTTAGTACCTTTTGTGAAGTTAGTTTAAAGTCAAGTAAAGATTGCAATTACTTCATCTTTTACAAGGTTTTCTTCAAATTTCTTTTAAAATTTTGAATGGTTTATTTCAGATTACATTTGCTAAAATGATATAAAACAGATTAAGAAGTAATAATTTTACTTTACTAATTACATATCACAGCCAGAAAATAAACACTGTGGTTGAATTTTTTTATTTACAATGTATCATAATTCTAATTATGGGGTGACCTTGCAGTTATAGTATTGCTCAAGTACACTTACTATACAAAATGTAATAAAAACATGTTATTTTTTCAATAAACCATCAGGCAAGTTGAAGGGTTAATGCAAACATCCTTACTTTGTTACTTACAAATGGTTATTTTATACTAAACACAAATTATTGGTATACTTTTTTACTATACTTTTACGTGCATTAAATTAATCTTTTTTCGTCATCTTACATAGGTTTTTTCATCCATCCTTCGAAGAAGAAACCGTCCTTCCCTGTCATCTTTGTGCCACTTCAACTGCACAAGCAGTGGCTGCTCTTCATCATTTAACTTTCTCTCCTCTGAAAAATAACGAGTAGGGTTCTCTTTTACTCATATTTTCTGAATACAGATCCTTAAGATAAACATTTGCTAAACGAAAAAAGAAATAACAATTTATATAACACACTATTGTCTGTATGTCAGGCATCACACAATTTGTTGTGAGAAAATGGCTGAACCAGTTTTAACAATAATCGGTAGAAGAACTCGGGATCCCAAAGTTTATGTTTAAACAAATAAGAAATCAGGTCAACAGTTTGAATTTGGAAGCCATTTCAACTTTACTGCCTTAATGGCACAAATGAAAAAGGAAATCAGCAGCAAGATATATGAAGCTGACTGTTTCTGAGCTATAAACCTGGAAGCTGACTGTTTCTGAGCTATAAACCTCGAAGCTGACTGTTTCTGAGCTATAAACCTCGAAGCTGACTGTTTCTGAGCTATAAACCTCGAAGCTGACTGTTTCTGAGCTATAAACCTCGAAGCTGACTGTTTCTGAGCTATAAACCTCGAAGCTGACTGTTTCTGAGCTATAAACCTCGAAGCTGACCATTTCTGAGCTATAAACCTCAAAGCTGACCATTTCTGATCTATAAACCTCGAAGCTGACTGTTTCTGGGTTATAAACCTCAACATATATTTGTTGTAAAAACTAATACTTTGTTAAACTACATAAAAATACAGATATTAAAACAATATCAACAAGATGTTTATTAAAGTTTCTTTTGCAAACTACTAGTTGGACGTATCTGCCAACAAAGAATTTTGGGGAACTGTTTTTCTTCTATACATTACTTCAGATGTACATGTTAGAATACAATGATAAAGCCAAAGCTATATTATTATCATTCTTCGTCCAAGTTAATGAGCATTAACATTTTCCTTAGTGGGAATTTCAATGAAGTAAGAGAATATTTTGATGATATATGATATATTGTGGTTATATGAAGAATTCAAAGGCACCATGACTGCAAATACTATATGAAAGAAAGACCTATCTTATATATTAAGCTCTTTATTTTCTTTCTTATAATGTTTCATACAGATTTTCCTTTGTTTCATTGATGAAAATTATTTGTTGAAATGGTCAGTGATATTTCCATTCATTACTTACTCACAAATTACCGCATATCAGAGCTTTATCTTAAGCTAAAGTAAAACCAAATATTATTATCATTTCTAAGCCATAAAACAGTGAATACCAACAACACAGAAGTATAAAGAAAAATTTGTTTTATTGTTAAATCATTTATCACTGCCGAGCCGTAAAATAGCAAATATTAGGAACAGAGAGACATAAATAAAGAACTTAAAGTTATCACAACCATTTTGTGGTAAAGTAAAATAAAATACACTTATTATTATAGAGCCGTAAAACACCGAGACGTGACAAATATTCTACTGTATTATAAAACTAAAAGAACTATTTTGTGGTGAATTCTCAAGACAAAGAACTAAATTATTTGAAGCAAATTCTCAGTCCCATGCTTCACAGATTATAAAACAAGGTTGATACCCTAAAATTATGATGTACGAGTTAGTCTTCACCCTTAGATTTGGTCATTATAAATTCTATTTGCATACTTGCTATTTCACAAGCAGAAGGAATTTTACACATCCTGCACAAAAACCAAGTAAGACAACGGGAACAACTAACAACTGGTACTTACTTCCCACATAAAGCTTCTTGAAATAATCGCACAATTTCTAACAAAGTGGATAAAATAGGCAATGTTCTACATCATAGCACATTTAGATTTTTTTTTTCCCCATTAGAGACTAAACACAATGAATACAATAAATGAAATGAAAGTAGCAGGTCAATCTAAATTTAAGAAAAAATTATAGCCTACTGACAGACATGTTTTTGTAAAATGTATACATTTTCCTACTAAATTTCTACGGAATTATGAAATAGATCATTTTCCAATCAACCCAGTTTTTTAATGATCAGTTAACTTATGAAATGAGAGACATTTCAAAAAATGTATAAAAACTTGTATTAACTGAATATGCATGGGGTTGATCCAATGAACCAATCCCACATTGAAGAAATAATGTTGACTAAAATTCCAAATTTACACTGTGTAGCTATGCAAAATGTGGCAAGTTTCTAGCAAAATGTACAAGTCTGTTGTTCACAGATAATCAGATGTGTTACAAAAGTATTTGTACTCAAAACATGCCTGTGAATCAACGATGTCAGCCTTAGACAAAACGAAGTGCAAGTTGATGTTTATTTGATAAACAACAATACTTTTGTCTATTGTACAGTTTGTATATTGTATTTAAAATTCATAAACCTCTAGAACCTCCAAAATGCATATCTACAGTTTTTTTCAGTATTCCTGTATATTATATTTGGTATTTACTCTCCTCTGTTATGAGCTGTCAGTATGTTATCAATATATGGTAAAAGAAATAGTTAACTAAAATGAAACCAATAATTATTTGTAACATACTAAAAAAGTTATTTATTCAAACCTAATTCTGCAAGTTTCAATTGTACTGCATATAATGATTTGATGACTCAGTTCCATTTCAAACTTACAAATGTCTACGTTGTTGCTCAAGAATAAATATTAATGTATGAAAGAACAACACAATTAATGAACAAATATATAACATGTATGATTTCCATGTTAAAACTAGCATTTACATTATGTTGTGTGCATGCAGATTAACAACTGGTTATACCTTGGGTTCCAAAACTTTCTCAGCACTCAGCACAACGGCCCTCAGAACATTCCACATCCTAATAATAAATCTATAGATACTGAGTACCTCAACAGTACCTAACAATTTACTGCTGCTTTCTGTTTGGGAACCCCTGGTTATAACATATGTATATTAATCTTATGGATGGATTTCTAGATTATAATGTATCTTTCCACAATTATTTTATGTCTAATTTACATGAACAAATCAAATTTAGTATTTTCAGATTACAAATTTCAAAATATAATAAGACTGACCAATAATTTAAAACATGTAAACTCAACACTTACCCCCATTTTCATGAATTTCATATAAACCATACTCGGGCACAAACAACATTCGAATGTCTGGACGGAACTTTTCAATTAAAGTCTGAATAACATCCCTAGTGGTGGCACTGCTTGCCACTCTGATGCATTTGGTTGCCACTTTCTGACCTGCATCTTGAAAGTAGAAACGCATTACCCCATGGAATTCCAGATCCTGAATAAGAGAACAAAAATTAAATAACTTAGGAGTGTACAGTATCAGGGGCTATTTGTGAACACTTTCATTACAAACATCCACAGTTAATGATACTGATTTCTATAGTTCAATATTACAATCCTTTATTTTTTGCTCTGGTAGGGGTCAGTCTGTCTCTACTGTATGTTGGTTACTTCATTCCTGGCTTTAAGATTTAACTTCCTATAAAAAATATATAACATATTACAAGTGTTATCATACTTTCTTCACAGACAATTCATTTATACATGCATTAGTCATAAAGCTGCATAATGGGCTATACATGTTGTACCCAATGCAGAGATCAAACTAACATTTTTAGCATTATATAACAAGCCCTCAAACTTATTGATGAGTTATCAATGGGACTTTTGAAACAGATAAAAGGTGACTATAATAATGTAATGAAACAAGAGAACAGAAAGTAATGAAATTTAACTACAGCCTTTAAGTATCTCCCATGTAAAGTTTGTAAAATATTTTAATACCAATGAAGAAGACAGGTATACCTATAGAAATTACTAGGGTTTTTATCAGGATATTTTAAATGCTTTAACGGCGTTTAGTATGAAATGAAAATTCCCGAAACAAAAACAGAAAAATTGAAAATGATTCCCTTTTTATCTAAGTTAATCATATTTTGATATTTACCGGTCATATGAACCTTTACAAACGTTTATACAAACAAAAATACAAAATATAACTTGAATAAAAAACTATAAAAACAAACAACTACATTAGTTATTGAATGAGTAGTTTTATATTCAACTGGAAACTTAGAAAGAACAGGTTTAAACGGTAACAAAATAATGGAATGTACGTTTTATTGTTACCGTTTAAATCTGTTCTCTCAACTTCCGATGAAATATAAACAACTACAGTATGAGAAACTAAAAATAGCATTCACACAAGCAGCAATCTCGAAAATTTCTTGAAATTAGCCAGACACTATTTTAGAGAATGTTTTTAAGTAAATCTAATAATCAGGCAAAAAAAAAAGATCTACGTGTACATGGAAATTGCAGTTTTTAACATTAAATCTGAGAATTTTTTTTCAGGTTTTCCTAAACATAAAATAAACTTTCAACTTGCATGCAGAACAGGCATCAAATAACTATGCACAAAGCTTCTCAAACTAAAGTTTTAACATTCTATTTCTATCCACTACCATAACTTTACAGAAAGCTGCATCCTTACTGAGGAGACAGATCAAGAAAATTCCCAATAAACAATAATGTATCACAGCATTTTAAGGGCATTGTATGATCAAAAACAGTTGCTTGTAAAATGCACTTACATGTAGACTAAAATTATTTTATGCAAGTCATTCAGATTTTATCACACACTATGTCATTTTTTACAAAACACCAACAAAGAGAACAAAGACTTAGAGTTTAAACAGAATAATAACTACATACATAGACACATTTATATATATATACACACACACACACACACACACACACACACACATATATATATACAAGTGTATATACATATATATAAATATATAGCACCTCAAATACTGAGGAAACTTGGCAAGTTTTTTAAACAAACAATTTACAGTGATTATATACTTGTATTATTGACAGTTTGGAGAGGTCTGTGCTAAAATATTGTTTAAACATTCCTATTTTCTTTTAAAAATGTAGATCAGAGTAAGCAAACATATAGTGGTCAGAAACCAATTTATTTGAAAGGAGTTGAAGAAAACTCAAATTACTGTACCATACTTGATAAGTCAAAAAATATAATTATGGATTTGAAAACTGGTCCACGGAAGTTAGAGATTCAAAAAATAAAACTTAGTTTAAAATCTTGAAAGACCACCATTTTAGAAGACAAGCGAGTTCCAACCAAAATATTTCTTACAGGGATATACCACTGCCAACATCAAGGAAGACTATGTATGCATACATGTGCACTTTACATTTTTAAGTCCTTAACATTGTATTGTACAATGAGCACCAATATTCCTCATACAAGGAGCTCTGAATTAATCTAACAGTTATTAATCCAAACCAATTCAAAGATAATTATGGTGTGTATATATACTTATAAACTGCTTAGACACCTAACCTATATAAAAGCACGTGTATGTCACATCACATCACCTTGATTTCTTGAAATAAGACCAGTCATAAAAGCCAAAATGCATTTATTCAGATAGAATAGTTCAATTACTGTCTGCACATTACCATTTTAGTGAGGGGGTTGCAAGGTGGCCATGAGGGAGGGAGGTGGCATGAAACCTTACAAGTGTAGTGAGTTTTGGTATAATAAGCCTAAAGTAAAGACTGTGGAATCACATAGCCTAAAACCAAATGCAAAAATTATCATGAAAAAAAAATTAACTAAGTTATTGTCTGTTATATCACCAACGTGTTTAATAATAAGAAAACCTCTTTAATCAACGGAAACTCTAAATTAAGAAATCAACAAATATTTTTCCAGTTTTGTTGTCTATACATTTCATTTTACACTTTCAGCGCATAGACTAACAACAATATTAGGTTACAGTTCTGTTGCTAAGCAACCTTACATAAAAGCCATTGTAGGAACATAGTGTTACCAAAACCACTGGCTTTTTTATATATTAGAAGTTGTTAATCTAACCGATTTTTACCAATAATTATTCTATGAATGCGCCACGAATTCATTTCATTAATTTTGATTGGCTCACAAAGGAATTTACCGACGTTTGACTGCCTCGACTGCACTTTCCTGCCTCTTTGTTGATTTCCCAAAATTCATATATTTCAGTTTGCTATGAAATGTGAGGTTAGGGTACACTAATGGATGGGGGTGGTAGTACTTGCCCCGTCATTTTTGACGGGCTTATACGCTAGTCAAGACAAACTTGAAAAACTGGTCGCTGTAAACTGAATTGGCACGTTTTAATGCCTAGCTGACCGTTAAACAAGGAATGAAACAGGCTTACAAGTATTTAAAATTATAACAGTATTCATCATTAATACTGAAGTGTGAAGACCTCGTTCAAATATGGTGTCGTAGCTTTTTTAACATCTTCATTTAGGTTGCCAAATAGCTTATACGATAGAAATTATATCATATTACAGTGAAGTAGATTTTTGTCTGTTGTCATCAAAAACAAAAGGATCCGTCAAAACGTTTGGCTTCTTTCCCAAAACGCCTAAAAATCTCGCACCTTATTAGATATTTTTGATAAAAGAACAGGTTATAACATAAATACAATTTCTGGCTTCGCGCCCAAAACTATAACCCCTTCCTGGATATTTCAGAATTTTGTCAAGAAAAAGCTACAAGTAAATCAAATCTCTAGAAATTATTTTTTTTAACAAGTTTATTCTTTTTCCTTAAATGCTGCAAAATTTTTTATTAACAATTGAAGCAGTTTACAATTCAAAACTATTAAACAGTGTAATTAAAATATACAGATTTTTTTTTTTTGTAGTTTAATTATTGTATAACTGCATTAATATTAAATTATTCATTTTCTTATGGAAATAAATTCTATGGTGGATTTTGTTTTTTAAAAGACCGCTCGGAAGTGGAAAATCACGACATTGTCCAAGATTCTAAAAATTACAAGCTCGAAACTGAGTAAATGTGAAATATTTTAGTTTTTAATAATCTTTAAAAGTAAAATAATGACTACCAAAAATAAAATTATTCAGCATTTACAATTTAAAAAAATAATAGATCTTTCTTTCTTTCAACAAATACAAAATAACTGAACAAGATATTTTCAAAAAGATTTCACTGTTCTGAATTTTGGTTCTTTTCACATGAGCATCAGAATAAAATATTTAAATGGTTATTTTTTATTAAATATAACACAAACACTGTTAATAGAATAGTTTCAACTTAGTTAAATTTATCTCCAATTCAAACATTAAACAATATCACGAATTTTAACAAAAATGACAAGTTTAGTAATTTTTATCTCCGAATATTAGGAATCACTTTTCCAAATTATTACTAGAGAAAATTTATCATAACTTAATATACTGATTAGTTATAACTTCGAGTCAGAAATAAAAGTAATCTTATTAACTTGAAAGTAAAGTAACGATGCTTAAAAATTATAGAATCGAAAAATTAAATTTCCACTTCATTCATGTGCTAAATACAATATACAAAGTAGTAAACTATTTCAAATTAAACCAAGAACGTTGAATATAAAACAGATAAAACATCATAAATAAATAAATGTTAAATTTAAAAACAAAATTAATAAAGAAAGTGAAAAATGTGGGTGTTTATCACCCTAAAGTCTAATGAGATTTGCAACTCATTTAAAAGGGGTGAAATTGGCATTAAAATCTACGAATAAACTACACGATAAATTCTATTCAGGAAATGTTAGAGTAATCCAACTGATGAAACTATGCATTCGAATATTTACGAGTAGGAACATAAGAAAAGTATATATAATTTGCTATACATATTAATAGGTTGATTTTTATTTTATATTTAAATAATTAGCTTGCTATGATTTAAAGTTTATATTAAGCACCAATAAACTCATCTAAAAATTGTACACACGCTAAAGTAAACTCAAAAATTGTAAATTCTTTCAAAACCACGCGGTTAATAAATAACCCATCTGCTATCACTTGGGAGTAAACCCACTTTCCTTTTGCTCACCCACCCCTCTTACACGCTTTAAACAGAAACAGGGCGTGTGTTACATGATAACTTAACGAGACTGGCCCAGTTTGTGTGCCTGTACAGTAAGGGTAGTTTTATCAACGTACTGTTTACGCATACCAAGCATTCCACTAGCCCCTCTATGAGTACAGATTGTTTTAAACCTCTGTACTTGAAAAATGAGACGGAACGTGTATCCCATTACACTTGTTGTTTGGGTACCGAAAACTTAATCCTCAATACAAAACGAAATTAAACTTTATTAAATTATTTTGGCATCTATGTTCATCTAAAAAATGTACGCCATTCGATTACATTTACCCATCTTGGTAGTTAGTTATGAA